CCCTCCCTCCCCCTCCCCCTCCTCTGCCTCCTTGTAGTTGCTCCAGCTGCTGCCTCAGTGACGCCACCTGAGACGGAAAGATGAAGACGGAGGTAAAGCCCACTGAGCGACAGGGGCGGGGGACAGAGGACTTATGAACTGAATGTGTGATTAGCATGATAATCATAGCGGGATATGAAGAAGCAGGGTCCTTTTGGGTGCGACTCTGTGCTTAACCAGCTTTTTATAATTAATTCATAACCTCTACCTTGTGAACAGACTAAATTCATATTTTAACCAACACAATCTGTTGCAGTGTCCCATGCCAGACTCATGATGCCAATGCTCACTCCACTGCTACCTTGGGTATTGTGCACCTCTTGGATTTTATGACTGTTGGTGCTAAAAGTTCAAATCATTTGAACTTTAACCCAAATCAGTGCTGACGTTTCAATGATTGAAATGAATGCTAAACAAACTGTATGATAAGATATCAGCATTTAGTAGAGCTCTTAGTCTGCGCAACATGTGCAGACAGTCTTAGCATCAGAGACTGCAAACAGGTTCAAACCAAAGATGCACATCACAACACACAGAGACAGAACAGAGAGACGTTTCAGCAGTATTTCCCATCTGTATTATTCTTTAGTTTTAATTTGCCATTGCTTATTTTTGGTGGAAAGCATTGCTGAAGGGCAAAGGCAAGTCAGAAAAATAGTGACTGAAGTGTTAACAGGCAGAAACAGGAAAGGTTTACTTCATCCGGACAGATGAAGAGTTAATTTGCATTTTATTTAGTTTGCAAATTGGAAAATCATCTCCACGCACTACCTCCCTCTGCAGCGCCTCATTGGCTGACTGGCTGGAAGACCGTGATCCCATTGGCGGCAAGGAGCTCATCTCCTTTAACGGCATGCGTTCAAACTCGGCCCACTTTTTCTCTATTTCATCCTCCGTACGTAGCCTTTGGTTCGACCCCACGCCGGTGCCCTTCCTGGACAGCACAGCCTCCCACTGGCTGCTCGTGTTCCTCTCTTCCTGCCATTGGCTGTGCTCCTTCCCCTGGCCCTCTCCCTCTTGTCTCTCACTGGCCGGGAGAGGGTTGGACGAGGCGGGAACAGGAGACAGCTCGACATAGTCAAACCTACGCTGGGTAGGAGGGGCAGAGGTTGGAACATCTGACTGAACGTCGGCATGGCGTGATGATGGGCGACGGGAAGACAGCAGGAAGCGAGAATGGGAGTTTTCCTTGTCACTGCTGCTGTCAGGTAATCTAGAGACGATTAGAGACAATTAAATTATGAATCAGGGCTAACAAAATAAAAATAAATAAGGAGGGAGCTCTTCTTTGTCTATTTGAAATCCACATACTGTAATCACATAAAGTAGTAACTGATGAACCACAAATTCATCAAGTTTGATACAAAAAGTAAATGAACAGCGTACAAAGCATCAACATAAAGCTGGCAGTGAGTCATTATGAACAAACATTGATAGTCCAAGTAATTAATGAAACTTTAATTCATCTTCAACAGCCAAAGTATACAGCGACTGAAACTCAGAGTTGCAAAGGGGCAAAGTTGCTGGTGCATGTGAATAACAGAGCCTCTTATCTGACCGTATTTAGCAAAGGCTCAGCTGCGGCGAGACCCGAAATGAGCAACCGAGGCTGGCAGGCCAATCTCACAATAATATGAGTGCAAAAAAAAAAGAAAGTACTTCAAAAACAACTTGAAGAATGAAGCAGAAAACCTCCTTAGATGCTGCTTTTTAGGGCAGAACGTTGAACGCAATAGTCAGCCAGTGACAAATGCCCCCTCATAAGCTACCCAAGCCAAAGTAATGTTTCAAAATGTCAACATACCTCAGCGGGCAAAGTGAGGGTAGCTACTTTGCGTGTATAAAAAAAATCTCTTAGCTTGCCTATTTCGGCAGGTTTTTGCAGGTTTTTGCACCCACCTCTAAATTGCTGTGCTTAAACCTGAGTATATTAGTCATTAGGCTGGAGATGTTACAAACTTCTCCCCCACAACAGTTTCACACACACACACACAGACACTCCTCTCAACTTGAAAGCAAGCTGCGAAGCAGTGCTGAACAATGCTAGATTTAATTTGACCTACTTCTGATTGAAATCGCAATGTACAAAAACATAAAGAAAGTGTATCTGCAGATACTCGATAAGGAAAAACGTGACTGATATTTTTACCCCTGATTACCTACAGCCACTAGAGTTGCTTATATTCATATTGAAGCTTGTATATTAAACAATAAACTGTCAATTACTGCGTGAGGTCTGGAGAGCTGCTGGGCCGGACACTCTTCTTCAAAACCTCTATCCAGTTCCGCCTAATTCCAGCCGTCATGGCGGACAGTGTGAACGCGGCCTCCCGTGTCTGGAGACCAAAAGGGGGAGAAAACAGGTTATGGAGACACAAAAATGTGACACAACTGGGAACAGATGGACGCGATACAGGAAAACTGAAAGAAAGAGATACAGAGAGAAAGGAGGAAGAGATACTGAGAGAGATGTGAGTCATGATAACGGAATGACAAAGACAAAAAAAAAAAAGCTGCAGAAATTGAGAGCGGGTGTGGTATATGGTCGTACACACAGTGTGTGAGAGAGACTGACCCGTAACAGAGACACTCACCTGTATCTGAAACCCATAGTTCTTCTCCACATCGAACTCGGACACCTTCACACAGGATTTTAGGTCAATCTCCCCGTCCAAGTCATCTTTCTGCACACAAAGACAAGAAGGCTTTCACAAACTACACAGAAACACTACACATTTCTCTTACACTTGGCTATTGTCATAATTAATACAATATGTGCTTTTTAATGACCATTCTTAGGATTGTTACAAAATTTCAAACATGTTAAAATATACCTCCTCTGCACTTGAGTCCCTGTAGTACTTCAGTCCAGCATCGGTCAGTACAAACCAATGCTTCTTCCACTAAAAAAACACAGCAGAAATCAGTTAATCCGAGACTGAACTCAGATCAGCAACTCTTGACAGCACGTGGTGACATAAACAATAAACTGGCACGCTAACACCAAGCACAACACTATTACTACTTGAGTTCCAGAGTACGTGTGGTCAGACACACCAGTGACACAGGAAGGCCCCGTATCAAACAGCAGACCTACAGTACGTGATGTGTGAGGTGAGAAGCTCATTCACTCAAGCATATCATTCGAAGAGAGGGGACACCTGTTGTGCCTCAAGCCACGAAGCTATTACTGTGATAACGAGGATAATCTGCCGCTATCGCCTTACACGCAGCCTTTCTCATTAGGGATGGAGGGAAGAGGGCAGTGGAGATGGAGGGAGAAGAAGATATGACGTCTGAGCAGGAGTACGCCATTCTCCTTCGCTGTACCTTACCTCTCCACTCGCGTCCAGTTTGGACATCCATCCCTTCTTGAAGTTCAGGAGGTCGGGCTGTGAGGGAAAGAGCGCACATGGTCACGGAGCTTCATCTAAGTGAGAGAAATAGGGCTGCAAACTAACGATTATTTTCATTACCGATAAATGATCGTTGAATTTACTGTCATAGAGGACTGAAAAAATTTAAAATAATCCAAAAATACATCTAAAATCTGAAAATGTGGGATTTTTTTCTTAAACATTAACTCAAAACAGCTCATCGATTATCTAAATAGTAATTGTGATTCATTTTATAGTTGACAACTAATCAATGAATCCACTAATCCTTGTCATTCAAGGCCATTTATTTGTACAATGCTTTATCACAAGCAAGTCTCAAATGGATTGTACAGACAAGAAAGAACCCATGAAAGTAAATGTGGAAAAAAGGAAGAAAGTGACTAGATGCAATGAATTATAAAACAACAGGACAAAGAGCACTACAAAACCTTTCAAAGGGTGGGGCATACTCAAAAGAATTATATCTCCATATACAAGAAATTAGCAGCAACCACGCCACCACAGGTTTATCCTATCATTGTACATCCAGACAACAGATCCAATGCTTCTGCAGCAAAGCACGTAAACCAGTTTCTATTGTGGAGAAACTTGCTTTCCTTAAAACGCACGTTGAATATACATGTGTATATATGTGTGATATATATGTGTGTGTGTATATCTCATTAACATAATGTTATGCAGGGTGCTGCTCGAGTGCACTGCACCGTAGCAACTCATTGTTGTGAGTGCAATGAAAGACACATATGAGTTGTGAAACAGGACAGGAAGTACATCTGTTAAAGACGAGGACACAAAATAGCTGAAGACAACAAAGGGACAGACAGAAAGAAAGATCAGGAACCAGAGCAGCACATGCTTTGTGATGTGGAAAATAAGTATGTACAGTAACTTTTCTGCTCATGACCCAGCACTGTGGCACACTATGAAATACTTTGCATATCTCTTGCTCCAGCTGCGTGGTGGCAGAGGATACATTAGTATTAGTGTGCTTTCGCTACTCTGTAATATTTCCAGGAACAGGCCTGCCTTTGCTTTTGACACTATGACAGAAAGAGGAAAACATGCGCTTGGTACCTCAAGAAGTGGTGATCCAAGATTAAGATTAGGAAACTTTTCCCCCGTACATTCCTCGTTTTCCTTATCTCGCTCTCACTAGCATGTACATTCCTCACTTTTAAATCTCTTTGCATTCGTCATCTCATCTCCCACTGGCGTCTCTCTCCCATCTCCAGTTTTTTTCTCTCTCTCTCTGCAGCTACTTTTTGTTCATTTTATTCCCGTGCTACATCATTTTCTCCTGCTCCCTCTCAGTTTGTACTCTATTATAATTTCTCTGCCTGTTCTGTCATCTCTAACCACCCCTTTTCTGTATTTATACTCCCTTCCTGGCTTCAGTTATGTTCTTGTAAGCCACAGTACACCACCCAGTTTTTCTCTGTATAAGCCAGTTCATCTATGCTACTGATCTTCTTTAATCTAACACATTTTAAGGTCTGGTGACTGCCAATAGACCGTGTAAAGGGGCTAATGTTGTCAGCAACGCCATGTTAAGAAGATATCAGTGGATTACTAAATGAATTTCATTTCATCATTAATAAATGATGAGGCAAAGTTTAAAAAACCTAGGACGTTTTATTTATGGTTTGAGATCTACACACACACACAAACATACACAAATCATAATCACAACCAATTGCTGGATCATGAGGTGGCAGTAACACGATAGAAAACTTGTTTGAGAGACTGACAGCTGCATCTTATAACATGAAAGAGATTTGGAGGATTAATCACTAGTGACTGTTTCATTCTGGCCGTTTATTCCTTCCTCATCTCAAAGTGTGTGAGCGCGTACGTACGAGGGTGGACTACTGGAGCCAGCGATGATGTGTCAAACCTCATCATAAATTAATGCTGTCCAGTCCATACATGCCCATGAGCGGGGTCAGTGAGCGGCCACGGCAGGGCACAGTGAAAAAGGGCAGCGTCTGTTATGAAATAACCCTTACGCCACACTGCTTCTCCTTGTCATGTGCCCCGAGATCAGTGACCCTGCTCGAAAAGGCCAGAGACAGAAGGAAGAAGGTCAAACAGTGGCGACAGTTTGAGACAATGTCCACTCTTACTGACTCCTGACTCCCACCACTGTAGAGGAGCACTGTCTGCTGTCCTTTAGGCCTATCACAGCATGTACTCTTCACTTCTGCTCAATTCAACAGATCAAGCAGTAATGATACAAGTGCACACTGATCACTGCACCTTTTTATAAAAACACTTGCAAGGACTTCTTGCAAATGTGTGTGTGTGTAAACAGGGAACATCTGTCACAGCTGGCTGTACAAACCTGACACACACACAGCACAAGCTAAAGGCTAATGACACTTCCTGCTACTGTAAACAACACAGGGTAAACAAGATGAAACTACACAACACCTGGACTCCAACATGCACTTTCTAGACCTGTCACATGAAGAGAAGGCTTAACTGAGCTGGGTACATGGGCGGTGTCCTAATAAAAAACAATACTATATGTCAGTTTTAGGCTAGCAGTAAGTTGGATATCTGCCCACTGAGCGTTAACGTGGACAAATCAAACTGATCAGAGAACAGCCCATTAAAAGCTAGCTATGTAACTCTACGTTAGCCTTTCTTTAAAATATAAACCAACGAGAATGGCTAGCTCCTGGGAGTTCATTTAATATGTGAATATATTCTATATTCTGTATATTTATGTGTTTTTATATATGTATATTCAGGAAGGAGTGACAGACAGGAAAAACAAAACTGCTCTCAAGGTGCAACTTACCGTCATGACAGGATCCGGAGAGGGTTCAAATAAAGACAAAAGAAAAGTACCGTCACCTCAAACAGATAAAACCCTTCTTGCTCTTAAGTTCACAGCTCAGCCTAGCTAAACCTCTGGGGCAGAAAGCTTACTTTCTCGCGGGGCAATTACGTTAGGCGAAGTAAGATAAACCCCCGCCATTCAAACCCCTGTTAACTCAATCAGTCGGACCGCCAGCGTCCGCGGCACACTGTCTCTCCGGGCTTCAGCGGAAAGGACATCCAGATAAACGCGGACAAAGTGGCGGTATTGAAAAGCAATAAGTTCACAACTTTGTGACAAGTCGCGGGTAGCTAACGACACACTCCTTCCTCGGCTCTCTCTCTCTCTCTCTC